CCATCATGTGTTATGCTGATGACACTCAAATTTACATAGAATCTGATGAAAGCTCTTTCGATCTGACACAAGAGAAACTTAATAATGACTTGAATAATTCTCTGATGTCATTGTCTGCGAAATATTGCCTGAGTGTTAACCCTGCGAAGTCATTAGTGATGCTATTCGGTAGATCAATATCGCGCAAACGTGTTGCGAATAGAGTAAATATAATTTCAGACGCAGTCACGCTTCCCCTTGTGGATGTGTCAAGAAATTTAGGACTTTACTTGGACACTTCCCTGAGATTCACAAAACATGTATCTCACATTTTGAAACGTGGATATAGCAGCCTAAAAATGATATATTCAAACCGGACAGTCTTGAACAAAAAGACCAAAATACTACTATGTGAATCTTTGGTGTTGTCACATGCCAACTTTGTTGATGTAGTATATGGTGCCAATCTCCTCCAAACCGACAAAAGTAGATTGCAAAAACTTCAGAATTCATGCATTAGACTGATAACTGGAACTAAAAGATATGAGCATGTCTCCTATCACCTAAAAGATCTTGGTTGGCTTAATATGGAGTCGCGACGGATTCTTCACTCTGCTGTCTTGTTCCACAGAATCATCAAAGAAAAGAAACCAAGTTATCTTTATAGAAAAATTAGTTTCAGGACGGACATACACAACCTCAACCTCCGATTTAGAAATCAGCTCTCCACACCAAAATATAAAACTTCTCAATTTAGAGGATCTTTTTCTTATTTTGTACCTTGGCTGTATAACAGGTTACCGATTCGTTATGCGAACTTTTCGCTGGGGTCATTCAGAAAAAAATTAAAAAATGATATTTTACGTGGTGAAATTACATTGACTCGAAACCTTTTCTGTTTGAAATTTTTACCCACTCTATGTACACGTTTCCATGGGCTATATACTATAATGTGATGGTGAAAATGTTAGACGTAGTATATATTTATATCTATACATACTCTCCTATTTTGGATGGTTGGATGGAATAGCAAGCTCAGTCTGTGTCTTGAACATGGACTGAAATTGAATCCTGCCTTTTGATAAGATGGTTTTCTTCTTTGTACTGAGAATTTATTTTGCTGTACCGATATGCTTATCAATAAAAACAATTATTATTATTATTATTATTATTATATACAGTGAGGACGTAAAAAGTCCTCCTCCCCCCTTTAACCGTTGAACGGAACATGATAGCGAGGTCGAGTAAAATTCAGGCAAAAAGGCACCTATTTACTACTATTTGGCATGAAAATGGTTGTGGTCACGTGACCTAGTGTCAAGTGGGCACCATCAACTTTTTTTTTCAAATATAAAGAGGGGGGTCACGTACCTTATTGGCCAAGCCGTTTCAAAATGGCAAGCGTTTGAAATTTGCTTCAAATATTAATATTAATGAATAAAAAACCTAAATAACTTTTAATTGCAACAGAATTTCTAGTAGGAATTGTAACAATTGCTCAAACATGTTCGAAATGTTCATCGTTCACTTATTGACACAAAAAAAGGTTTTCGAATTCAATCCGAACGTGATTTACTGTTTCCCAGGTACATTTCAAACGCTTGTCATTTTGAAACGACTCGACCGATTTGCACAAACAAAGTGGAGTTGGATAGAGAATCGGAAGGTCTTGGAAACAAGGTACCACGTGACCCCTCTTCATATTTGAAAAAAAATTTGATGGTGCCCACTTGACACTTAGTCACGTGACCACAACCATTTTCATGCTAGAAGTGAATTAAAGAGGTATCTTTTTGTCTGAATTTTACCCGACCTCGCTAGCTTGTTCCGTTCAAAGGAGAAAGGGGGGGTAAAAGGACTTTTTACGTCCTCACTGTACAGCTGCATATCTTGATGCATTCCATATTGACATAACCTAATTCTTATGAGAAAAAATATTATCTATATTTGGAGAATATGTGCTGGTAGTGGAGAAACTAAAATACAGATTGCTTGTCATATTTAAGGAAATAAAATTCATATTAATATTTGTCCGAATTAGCTTTATTTTTGAGGTATACAGGATGTTGAACTTGGAAGTATGTATCAATTGTTTTTATGACCCCCGTCTGTATGAGCTTTTATGGTGCCAAAATTCAGTTTGGTTGGTGACTGACAAAATTTCAGAATGATACGTACGTATTGAGGTTATGTGGTAATCTCAACAATTGGTGTGTTGAGAGCGCCTACATTAGAATTTAGAGTCAAATGTCATTTTTATTGTTTCCTCAGAAACAACACGAGATGCAAGAGAAACACAGGAAACAAGAAAGTTGTATTTTCAATTGTTCAATATAATAAAAACAAAACTCGTCCAATGATATGCACCATAAATTATGGTATTGGAACCCACAGCAATGCTACAGAAATTATTATTTTGAATTTAAACGCACCAGAAGAAGTTCCATGTTACTATTAATAAAACCACCAAGTATCAGAAAATCGAATGAACTTTCACAATGATTGAATAACAAGCCTATAGGATTTGAATACAGTGCGTCCGTTAAATAGAGCGCTCTGGTAATAACGTAGTGGATAAGTTCGTGAAAAATCTAAGTGATAATTTTTGGAAAGAACGATCGTAGCCCTCGAATTTCATTTTCTTTCTTTCTTTCTTTCTTTCAAATTTTATTAATGCGCACAGAACGATTTGTTTGGGAAAAATTCATCCACTACTGAATTTGGCAGAAGCACTGTATATAAACTCTATGTGTGATATTTTTTAATTCAGCTGTCCATGAATATTCCAAAAATGTAATGATATTATTTAGGGTGTTTGATCCATTAGAAAAAATTGTTACGAACGTAACTTGGATAAACCTGATTTTTTTTCCCTTTCCCTTTCCCTTTCCCAGCAGCAAATTTGCATTGAAAAATCACCTTCTTCATGAGTTTCTTCAGAAAGGGAAAGTTTTGTTGGAAATTAATTTATTCAGTACTTTACAAAAGCACTGTAAATTCAAATCGCTCCCAAATCTCACGGATGCGTAACATGCAGTGCCCCAATATAATTAAATCAGGTTCATATAATGTACTAACAATGATAATAATTTCATGATTGTATCCCAAAATGCACAATTGTTATACTATGCCGCTTCACTAGAATGAGTTGGAAACAAGATGAAAATGCGATGCAGTCAAAATTACAAAAAATATCAAAACCAGACCGCCTAGATGTCGTCACCCAGTTAACACATATTGATTCCAGAGATATAAGAGGGCATCACATCCATGCCACACATATCACATCCGTGACTCGAATTGAGAGTCCCACTGAAATCACCATGACTGCTATTCCAGACCCTTTTGGTTATTTTATGATTCACTTTATGATGCCAAATGAAACTCACAGTAGGTATTGAGCGACTCCTTATTCAACATCAGAATCGATCAATTCCGTTTAATTGTTACATAAGTAGATAAGAATGTGAGGTTCCAGTGAGTCATATATTTCAAGTCTCATATCCAATGAAATGTGATAATTATCGCGAATGTTTTGTGAAATAAAGAGTCCCCTGGCAATACCAATGATTTTTTCTGGTATTTCGCATTGTTAAGCAAGACATGATTGTGACATCCCAGAGATGTTTATGTGTCAATCAAGAACCATAATGCTGAGAATCATAATGATCACAGTTTCACTTTTGATCAAAAACATAATGAAGCTAAGTTTAACCACTTACCTTTAAATCTGCGATTGGGTCGAAATTTCACCAGAATCGGAAAATAATTGAAAAAGTTATGTGCTATTTCTGAGAATGAAAACTTTTTTGTTTGTTTTTTCTTCATTTGACATAGTTTCCGAATTCTTTAGTGATGGCAAGTTTCATATGTTTTCTAGGCAACTACTCCATACATTTGCGACCAACTCGAAAAACTCTTGCATTATTTCGATAACCAACTCAAATTGCGAATACAATTTTTTATTGTAAAGTAAAATAAAAAATATGTTGCGGTCATCGGCGGAGGAAGCAAATTTTCAGAGAAATTCTTGACATGGGTAGAAACATCTCTTCAAGTTTGCCACTCTTTAAGATTTTTTTCGGACGAGTTAATAACAAAAGTATGAATAAATAATTTATTTTCCGTCGATCTCGTATTAACGACTAAGTTTAATGTATATGAAATCGTTCATTAATGACCCCTATTAATGAACGATTTGTCTATTAATGCACGATTGTTTTATAGGCAACCAAACATACACCGCGTGCATTCATTGTTTATGCTATAACTTAGGGAATTTGCATTTAAATCGAAAATATGGATTTCATCGAAGATTTTCCATTGACGGGTTCGCCTTTCCAAGTTTCTGATACGATTTTAATCCCTGTTTTCTAACACAAGGAATTTATTTTCTATGTTGATCATTTCGACAAATGTCAATTGTCACTAATGTCAGTAACAAGGCTACTGGGTGATTCTTAGCAGTTTCCGGATGAATATGGGATGAATGATGAATTCGCGAACCAAGTTTTCTTCATTGCAGGAGAAATGAGAAATATAGTCGACGGGAAAATTTTGTAACCAACTTGTATAATAAAAGGCGATTAATGATCTCGAACATTAACGCTTCCCTCGCACGTTAAAATATCTCGATCATTAATCGCCCTCATTAATACACTAGTTGGTTAAATAACTATTATTGTGATGCCACACTTGGAAATGGTCGCGTAATTAGAGAACGGGAAAGGATTATGTTTCCTTTATTTTGACCATTTTGCGACTATTTTGCATTTTTTCTCTACAAAATAACCGAAATTGTTTATATTTACATTTTTAACAATGTTGCCGGCCTTATACGAGGGGGCAAATTGTTATAATTCCATTTAACACCAAAATACAACTTCTGTGGATGTTTGAAATGTTTTGATATTTTTTCTCCATTTTTGCTAGTGACTGGCCTATTGTACTTGGATGATGTTTTCCACAAACATATTTGAAAAGGTATTCCTGGGTCTGACGCCTGATCTTTTTTTTTTCAGTCAATAGGTCTTGTGGTGAAACATCAAGCTACAATAATACTTACTTTGTGAGTCCAGGATTTCCAAATGTTTACTCCTCTAGAACTATATGCACACATACCATACAAAAGATCAACTCCGATGTATGCCAGGTAAGATATGACACTGGTCCATTATGCAGCACTCATGTTCAAAATTGAGTACCAGTCTTTTATAACTTCGTTTCTATATTCGAAAATTCTTGTAATCGGGGTATTTTCTACTGCGCTGCCGATAAATGAGTCAATTTGGTGAGGTAATGAAAATGAATGACCATCCTTTTGTGTTATTGAACTTGATTGTGAGATACTCAGATGACAAGGGCGAAAAAATACATAAAATATAATATGAAAATTATCTATACCATGACTGCCAATAATCTGTAGTGTTCGGTATAATTCGAATCAATCTTTCTCAATATAATAATTAAGAATGACCCGACATCCAGATGTTCAATTTGGGACCCTTCTGCGCCTAGTAGGACAATCGTATGGCAATTCGAAGTTGTACGTTAATAATTATAGTTATAAATAACAATTTAGGCACGTCGAAAATGAATACTCACATAACAGTGTGTCCGCTTCATGGACCCCTGTAGAATTTTTATTTTTTTGTCGATCTTGATGTTTTTTTTGTAGTTATTCGAATTGCAGCTTCAACAGTTTGGTGACTCAATTTTTGTGCAGTAATCGAAGCCAACCACTACCACTTTCATATACATATACAGGGTGTCTGTAAAAGGTTGGGGCATGGCTCGGCTGTGGACTCCTGGAATAAAAACAAGTTGATTTAGGCAAACTTACCTATATCCAAAATCGTCTCGTTGAGTTGATACAAGGTGTTGAAGTTTTTGTGGAAAAATATAATTTGGCTTATAACAAGAGTAGGCTGAGATCGATTTTCATAATTTTTGGCATGGCATGTTATGTGACTGTAAGTCACGTTTTGAGATGTTCTCGATCATCATCAGTGACCTGCAAAAGTTCCAAACAACCATGTTGCCGTACAAATTTGGTGATAACTTTTCAGAGGTCAGACTGGAAACTTCCAGTTTTTTTTTTTTCAGAAAGATATCCCCTTCAGAAATATTTTTTGTATCGTGTTAATTTTTGATAAGTCTCGAGGTTCATTTGCAAATAAATAATTTTTGATCTAATGCATCCTGCGCATTTTTGGAAGTTAATCTAATTAGTCGGACTGTTTATTGATTATGGCTACAATGTATTCTCATTGTGAACAAACTTAGATGTTGCTGGTCCTCACGGGAACAAGGAACAAAAAACTCAAACAAATAATAAGAAGAAACAAGATACTAAAACAAATAATAATAAGAAACAAATAACTCTATTCCACAATGAAATTATGTTATTTTGACAAGCAAATGATGGATATTACTGATTTGAAGTTCAAAGAATAGATATTCCAGCCAACTAGACATTTTTTCTTGAAAATGCATCAAATCGGAAATTATTTATTCGCAATAAATGAACCTGGAGACTTATCAGAAATTAGCACTATACAGAAAATATTTCTGGAGGGAATGTCTATTCAAAAAATATTTCTGAAGGGAATATCTTTCTGAAAAAAAAAAGCTTCCAGCCTAGCCTCTGAAAAGTTATCACCAAATTTGTACGGCAAGATTGTTGCTTGAAACAATTGAAAAATACTGATGATCAAAAACATCTCAAAACGTGACTTATAGTCACAGAACATAACATGCCAAAAATTATGAAAAATGATCTCAGCTTACTCATTTAATGAGCAAAATTGTTTTTTTTTTCAAAAAACTTCAACGCCTTGTACCAACTCAACGAAACGATTTTGAATATAGGTAAGTTGGCTTAAATCCACTTATTTTCATCCCAGGAATCTACAGTCGAGCCACTTCCCAACCAGATTATTTTTCTAAAAAATGCATATGGTGCCTCAGATCAGAAATTATTTATTTGTAAATGAACCTCGAGGCTTATCAAAAATTAACACGATCAAGAAATATTTCTGAAGGGGATATCTTTTTGAAAAAAAAGCTGAAAGTTTTCAGTCTAACCTCTAAAAAGTTATTACCAAATTTGAACGGCAACATGGTTGTTTGAAACACTTGAGAGTCGCTGATGATGATCAAAAGCATCTCAAAATATGACTTACAGTCACAGAACATGCCATGTCAAAATTTATGGAAATTGATCTCAGCCTACTCTTTTTATGAGCAAAATTGTTTTTTTTTCCAAAAAACTTTAACGCCTTGTATCAACTCAAAGAGACAATTTTGGATATAGGTAAGTTGGCTTGAATCGACTCATTTTCATCCCAGGAGTCCACAGCCGAGCCATGTCCCAACCGTTTACAGACACCCTGTGTATGCATTTTCATCTATTGGACCACACGAAAGGAAATTCATTTTTTTATATGCTCGAAAAGTAAAAAGAATGTTCTTTCCGAGATCCTTTCTTGAAAAAATTATGGATTTCTCACTTGCAACACACCTGTACCGATTTGGATAATAGGCAAAAACACTGATTTTTATAAAAATCTACAGGATGATAATTGAAGTACCTAGTGTAAAATTGCAGCGGTGTCGTTATGCTCCCGTATGAGAAATTATCATTCATATTATTTTATTTTCAGACATAATCATGAAGTTTGATATCTTCTTTCGTAACAATTTCGAAATTTTTTTAATCAAACCCTTTATGTCGGAGTTATAATATATTTTTATTCGAATGATGCATTCCATCATCCATCCATTTGTTTATTATTTTTGGACAGTGTGATAAAATTATCAGCAGAACATGTGGAAAGTTCAATGAAATGTATCCGAATCTACCGCCAATGAACCTCAAGAAATTTCAAATTCATAAGAACTTCGTTTGAATAGTTTTGTTCCATCGTTTTGAAGGTATTTGCATCTTCTGAAGTGACGAAAATATCGATATTATTAGGAGAATGTCACAACGCTACTGTCAAATAGTAATCATGGCCTGCTTACCAAATACCGAATGGAAATACCATTCTGAAGGGACATTTTCACAAATAAATGCTCATAAGTCCGAAACTTGACTAGTTAGGTATAGGTATGATATACATATAAAGAAAGCAAATTTCAGCAGCTTTCCGAATTTTCAATAATATACAGGGTGTTCCATTTAAAATAATCAAATTTCAGCAACTTTTTCAAGCAAACGAAAAAACTGTATTTTTTTACCACCCTGTATTGAAGTAACGGAGATTAGGCTGACGTGTGGGAAGTGTCCAAGTATCACCTAACTCCAAACCAAATTTCGATATCATAGTACTTCTTAACTAAAAGATATCGGCATTTTCAGAAGTCATGATTTTCGAAGAAAAAAATTGAAATTAATTTTTATTTCGAAAACGGTAACAGATAGGTATAGGGAAATATCAAGAAAAGTTGTCGGGCAATTGTTGGAGATTCCAAAAATAATATTATATACAGAGTGTTCCATTTGAAAAATCAAAGTTGCTACTGCTTTCTAATAGAAGCGGCAACACCGCATTGTCGAAAATATTTTAGTTGGCTAGAGAATGTCCGAATATGCCCTCCATTAAATTTTCAAAGTGATCCGTTGTCTGGTTCACCAGAAACGTCTAATGTGCCATCCACCGTGAATCAGCCTGTACATGATTTAATCCACGAACACATATATTTCTGTACCTTGGAAGAAAAAGGGCCAATGTCCAACTTTGCTATTTCGAGAAAAGAGAGCGCAAAGTTTTTCAGTATATAATCCTAATCCTAATCAATAACTACATAATGTAACATCAGTCTGATTATTTCGAAAAATTATTTCATGGGATGATTTCTCAATTGAGTAAAAAGATATGAACTGTTCTCTAAATTTGTGGAAAATATTGGACATTGGCCATAAATAATTCTTCATTCAATAGGACATTGGCCTCTAAATGAAATGAAAGAAGTCAGATGCAAAAAAGTATATTCAGTAAAAAAAATGGATTGTTTATATTCTTAGAATCAGAAAGATCGAATACCTAGGAATTAGATCATATTTATTGTTCAGTGGTATCGAGGTCACCATCTGGATCTGGGATGTCGTCAGCTTCCAGATTTGTAGATCGCCGAAGATTTTCATAGTATGGCCTGTTGTATTCGCTTATGAATGGAAGAAGCTCCAATAAGTTCATGATCTTGAGTTCAGCTAGCGGCAAGGGTTCTATGTTGAGTGGTTTCAAATCCTCAGTTGCTATTGCCAAACCTGCATCTCGTTATCTAACACTTCCTCTCCTCAAGTCTATCTTCTTGGCATTTTCCACACCAAATGAACTTTTATAAAACATTTGAAATTCATCATCCATTTGATGGTCATCCAGGAAATCATATCTCCATCTTCATTTTTTTTTTTTCGATGAACAAGTTTCTCACTCAGTAAACAACCAAAATTCAAGAAATCGGTTTGCGTCATCTCTACGACTCTCAATGGCAGGGTTCTTCGAATATTTCTGATGAAATTTGTCCAGTCATGAGGAACTTCTATTGCAGAATTCGTTTTTTTTTGGCAGTCTCTATAGCTGCGTGTATAGTATCCGCTTCCATGTGGAAATGCCCAGGTTCCATGAAAAAATGATTGATTTGAAGGTGTCGGCCTTGCCTTTTCAGTTCACTCATGAGGACACAATACATTGTGCACATGTGAATGTTTCTGTTCTGTCCTGAACAAGAATCACTATACAAATTCAGAACCCTTACGGAATCAGGCAATGCCAAAACAAATTTCCTTATGCACGAAGCAATTTCTTGACCTCCCCGGCCTGCTATAGTTTCATTCCATAAAAAACAAGTCCCAATACTTCCTGTCACAGTTTTATGATAAACTGTCAAATTGAAAGTCCATAGCTGTCTCTTATAGAAAGATATACTGTCGCGGATATAAGGAGTAGGCAAGCATTTTTCTAAATCGAAGGAACAAACAATGAATGAAGAATCCTGTTTGCTTCTTTCTTTATCCGCGGCTTTCTGTTTATATGCTGCCTCGGCCATATCCAAATGTTGTTTTCTCTCGAATTCGAGTTGTTTTTTAGTCTCTTGCTCATCCGAGCTGAGTTCTTTGGCTTCGAATGATCTGAGACTAATATTGAATTTGTCACATTTATCGCAAGTGTCATTCGCAGGTGTATGAAACGCAAGATTGAATTCTTCATTGAAAATTTTGCGATACTGACACGTTCTGGATCTATGTTATTATTCTGACAATATTCACAATAGAGTCTGTACATCAGAGCTATAGATAAATCTGGGCTCAGATATTTTTTCGATGTGCGTTCTCTACACAAATACGAATACTAACTCATGAGGCCAATGTCCAGGAATTCCACTACACAATAAGACTTAAAGGCCAATGCCGAACGTTAACTTTTAACATTAATTGAACCAGTTGTTCTTATTGTGCGCAACCAGTACGCAGATATCCTTGTATATGACCGAGGATTGGTCCATCCTATCATATAAACTAACCTCAAAATATTTCCCGGTTCTGTGTTTGTTCATTACTTTTAGTTATTCCTATATTATTTTTGAGTCTTGGCCTCACCTGTTATAAGAATATCCCTAAAATGTGTTTAAAATGTTCTATGGTTATCTTGAATGGCTTGAAAAGGGCAATTTTGCCTGCGTATTTTTTATTTTCATTTGTTGATTTGGTTTGCATAAATGGTAGCATTTAAGCTACTCCTTCCTCGATAATTATTAACTGATAATTCTTACTTGATAATGGGGGAGACCACTGATTTTTTGGAACGACATTATCGTGAACTCTATACTGAAAAACTACCAGTGAATTAATTTTGAATTTTTTCATTCATGCTAAGACGATGAAAAAAATAAATTAGAATATGTCCATTTCTAAACACACAATTCCTGCGCCATTTGAAATTTTGTCAATTCATTGGTGAGACTGGTGCGACGTCTTAGTCCCAACACGCCTATTTTCCTTGAACTCACCAATCACACTGCAACACTGCAGAATGACGAGGTATCAGAGAGAGATAGCTACAGTGCGGGACTAATACGTCACAGCTCCACCATCATATTTGGCTTTTCGAAATAACGAATGAAATATGCTGATTTCAAAACGATATAGATTCGATTCCCTTCAACTTCAACTCATAGTATTGATTGTAGATCAAACGTAAATCATGATTCGTCGATTGAAAGAGTTTTGCACGGATTTCTTCCCTCAGTGGTCTTCCCCATTGTAAATTGATGCTGCATAATTCCACACTAAATTGACAGGTTTGTGTCCTCAAATCAAAGACTCGTTCATCCAACGAACAGAGAGGCTCTGGAACACATTGCCAAAGGAGGTGTTCCCCGAGGCATATAACCTCCAGAAATTTGAGAAGAACACCAATACCTACCTTATTTCCCTTGGTTCTCACGATGTTCTCTGAACATTACAGGATATCCCTTTTATATCAACAATAATTGAATGTTCGAAATTAGTATTCCTGCTTCTATGTTGAATAATAATAATAATAATAATATAATAATAATATATCTATAGTCGTAGGAAAAATAGTGTACATAACTCGTTGGAAAGTGTATTTCTTGCACTAGTTACATACAGTGTGTCCACCTTAAGGACTTACCACCCCTGTAAAATTGTTATTACCTGACCGATTTCGGAAAACTTTTTTTTGTTGGATAGGTATTTGAAATGTCCATCCAACAAGAGAGTGATTTTATTCATGAACTGTAATCGTGGCCAACTGGGACCAGCTTTATTGACCCATATTTGAGAAAGTACTATTAGGGATTTTTTTCACAAAAAACAATGATGGATTCTGAATCACGATCACTTGAAAAACACCTTTACTGAAACGTATTATGTTTTTTTTAATAGGTGATCAGAAAATGTAGTATTTTGGTATTTTTGAGAAGAATTGATGACACATTATTATTGAGGATCACTTTGAACATATCTGTACCGATTTTCATCATTCAAAAATACGATGTGAATGAGAATACAATTGAAAAGAAAAAGTAGGCAATATTTTTTAATCAACTCAAAAAAAATATTAATTTGATTTTTCGAACACCCTGTATTTGATGATGATGAAAATCGTTACAGGTATGTTCCAAGTGATCCTGATTCATCTTTTTATTTTGAGTGAAGAATTATCAGGATGAAACATATTGCTTACCTATGCATTTTAATTTTTTTCTCAGACACATTGTATATTCAAATGACGAAAAATGGTACAGGTATATTTGAAATAATCCTCAATGATAATTTGTGATTCTTTCTTTCTAGAAAAACCACAGAACTACATTTGCTGATCACCTATTTGAAGAAAATGATTATTCGTTTTTTCGGACACCCTGTGTTTCATGATGATGAAAATCGGTACAGGTATATTTCAAGTGGTACTGATTCAGAATCCATCATCAAGTTTCATGGAAAAAAAATCCCTAATAGTACTTTCTGGAATATGGGTCATTGAAATTTGTCGCAGTTGGCCACGATAACAGTCCAAGAATTAGATCACTCTCTCGTTGGATGGGCATTTCAAATACCTATCCAACAAAAAAAGGATTTTTGAAATTGGTCGGATAATAACGATTTTACAGGGGTGGTAAGTACTTAAGGTGGACACACTGTATATAACTCGTGCGAAATATGTCACTTCCCACACTAATTATGTAATATAATATCTGATACGCATATGTGGTATTCACAATATACCGGGTGACACGTTATAAAGTACCACCCCCTATAACTTTATTATTTTTGACAGTAGAAAAAAATGAAAAAAACAGCCGTACAAGGAATTTTTTCTTCTCATGGAATCAACTGATATATTTTTAGTATCTCAGAGGATATACAGGAAACAAGAAAAAGTGTAAAAATTTTAAATGGAACGCCCTATATATTTTCGCGCCATAAGATAGACTTTTCGAAGAGCTTTGCGAAAATACTCCACTCAATACATTTATCTTCAGTATTTCTCATAATATGGACAGTCTAACCTAAAAAGAAAGTGTTTTCCGATCCTCAAATGATTTCTGAGAGTATGCTGCTCCATTTATGTCTTCTGAGATATTGAAAATATATCAGTTGATTCGATGAGGAAAAAAATCCCTGTTAGACAATTTTTTAATTTTGTTCTACTGTCAAAAATAATAAAGTTATAGGGGGTGGTACTTTATAACTTGTCACCCGGTACGCATCAGTGTCTCAAAATAAAAAAAAAACTCATTGTAGGTGAGAATCGACTTTCTCACGTTGAGACTGGCTCAACCCGATAGCAACGGTACCTGCAACACCGACGCCCTCTTCATCTCAGGAGGCGCTTCTACGGTGCCCATCCTCTGCGGCGATAATACCGGCCAGCACGTGTACGTCGATTTCAACGGAAACGCCAACATCGTCATCACGGTCAGCGTCGGCGGCGCTGCGTCCACGGCTTGGAACATCAGAGCTGCGCAGATCAACTGCAACTGTCCTCAAAGAGGTGAATAGCATTATAGGTCAGTCATTGGGGATTTTTACCTGGAAAAAAGTCCGGAAGTTTTTAAACTTTCTAGGATTATAGTTTTGGGTATCCAGAACTAAAATTCACAAAATGCACAGTCCGGGACATGCCGCCGGCGCCGTCATCTTGCCAAGATGGCGCTCAAAAACGGTTTTTTGAACATATCTCCAAAACGGTGCGTTTTCAGAAAAAATATGAAGACATAAAAATTTAAGATGAAGAAATTTTCTACAAGAAATGTTCTCAGTATATTTTTGCTGAAGTGAGCCGTTTAGGCCCAAGAGCTGCTTGAATGACATCATATTCTGTTAATTTCAATAAACTGCCCCTAACTATCTCCAAATATGCGTATAAATTTTTCTTTTATAATGAAACGGGCTATCTGATTGGTTTCTCGTTATATTTATAGCTTGCTGACAGAGGATATTTCCTATAAAATATGTTCCTAGAATATTCTCGCTAAAGTACCCTCGTTAAGGCACAAGTGCCCTTACCAACTTACAAATGTTGCGTTTTTTTCTGTGGTGGCGAGTTTCGGAAATAATATGTGTATTAGGGGTCCCCAAATCTGATATTTAACGACTTGAAAAATACGAAACGGTGGATATCCATTATTCAATTAATCATCAATTAATCCATGTTAATAATTTATGATCAATCAATTTCGATTTTAAATGCTGTACTTGTTTCCACACCACCCAAGAGGCTAAGTACACGGCGCGTTTTTTTTAACGTGGTTTCCCCTGTAGTCCTAATCCACTCAGGTACTGAAATCATTTTTGGCAAAGGCCAGACGGACCTGGCTCGTGGATTTCGATATATTCAACAGGGAAACTGGTTACCTCAGCTCCAGAATCGATGTTAATTTCCTTCAACTCGTCGGATTCTTCTTCTGCAGTCGATAAAGAATCATCATGCAGCGAATGGAGGTCTTCCTCATCGGATTCGTCCAGTGTCACTTGGCTGATATTTTCACAAGTTTTCCCGTTGCAGACACCGCAAATCATCGAACATCGCAATCCTGCTTTCCTGCATCCGCAGGCTCTACCACAAGCCGCCTTGCACTTACAAGATAAAAAAGCAAGTAGTGCTTTGGAAGCAGAACCTTTCAAAGTAGTTATTGGAGTGAGGCCAGTTTGTGTTTTCTTCCAACCCCATTCTTCAACTACTTTCGGACAACCACGCCATAGTTGAACCTGATAGTACGTTCTCAACGAATGCTGTCGTGCAGCTGCGCTTGTCGGTGGTAAAGATGCCAAATTGAATTCACTCTTTGTTACCGACTTCACGAAACACTGGTATCGATATTTATCAAGATTGGTGTAATTTGAATCCATAGAGTGCAAGTAAAAATTTATCACCGGCAAAGGCAACTTGATCAGGGGTGGCATGTTCATTTTTAAAAACTTTAATATGATCTTGTAACTCTTCATGTTTTTCTAATGTTGTTAGAAACTTAATTTTTCCTTGGTTAAATACGGTCTCGCAATTTTTTCATGACCGTTTTTCTCGTAAAATTACTGATTGGCAAATTGTGTTCGTTAGGAAAGGTAATTTAGTTGATGAAAAAGTTCTTGTGTTTTTACCGTTTATAAAAATATCTCATCTGAAAAATATATTTTGTATTTTTACTCATATTGGGATGGAGTGGTGAAGACAAGAAAGCAAAATTTCAAATTTCTATGAATTTATGGGCGGTTTTACAGTACGAGAAGGTACCTATATCTACGGATACATAGTATAGGTACGAAATTTACTCATAACCATCCTGCACCCACATACTTCTGGAGCAAAGTCGCCAGATTCGTCCATAATGCAATTTTTATATCGCCCAAATAATCGCAAGTCACAAATGCAAAATTTTTGTCGAATAATTGATCTAAAAATCGTCCAATATAACGAGGAACAAATTGAATAGCCCGTTTTATTATAAAATATGAATTTATACGCATATATGGAGATAGTTAGGGGCAGTTAATAGAAATTAACAGAATATGTTGTCATTCAATCAGCTCTTGAGCCTAAACGGCTCTCTCTAGCAGAAATATGCTCGGAACATTTCTTGTAGAAAATTTCTTCATCTTAAATTTGTATGTCCTCATATTTTTTCTTTTGGAGATATTTTCAAAAAACCGTTTTTGAGCGCCATCTTGGCAAGATGGCGGCGCCGGCGGCATGTCCCGGAATGTGCATTTTATGAATTTAAGTTCTGGACACCCAAAACTGTAATGCTACAAAGTTTCAAAACTTCCGGACTTTTTTCCAGGTAAGCCTTATTTTGGATCCCCAATGACTGAACTATTAGTGCTGTCATAAGTTGCGTTTTATTCATCCGATTTGCAATTTTTCCTATTCCGGTAGCTACTTTCATTCCCTCTCACTAGGGTCCCTTGGTGGAAATTGACGTTGAAGTCATCCTAACAGGGTACGGTCAGATCATAGCTGCATTCTTTTTTAATGATCTAGAGACTTAAGTTTTGTCTAGTGGCATCCCTGACATTGCTGTCACGTCACATCCATGAGCGCTACAGAAAATCATTCAAATTTATATGAATAGGTATGTACAAGGTATTTACTTGTTGAGGAAGATCATAAGGCGAACGAGTTTTGTAATTATGATTCTATTCCATGCAAAATTGGAAGATATCTGGGGTTTTCCGGGGTTGGAGATAATGATTGTTTCGTCAATTTGGAAAATTCAAGATGACGGATCCAATATAATATAGCGAAAGAAATTTCAAATTATGATCTGATTCTATTCAAGATTGTTATCTTAGGGTTTTCGGGGTCGAACTTTATGATTTTTTGTCAATATTGGGAAATTCAAGATTTTATAATTATGATCCGATTCTCTTCAAAAATCAAAATTGGTATCTGGGGATTTCCGGGGTCGGACATTATGATTATTTCGTCAAAATTCAAGATGACGGATCCAATATGGTGGACGAGTTTTGTAATGAAGATCCGATTCTATTCAAAAATTGGTATCTGGGGGTTTTTGAGGTAGGAGATAATGATTGTTTCGTCAAAATTGGAAAATTCGAGATGACGGATTCAATATGGCGAAAGACATAAAGTACATAAAGTATTGTCTATTCTTCATTTTCCTGCATATTTTACGTATTAGTTTTCATCAGCCTACTTTTCGTCCTAGACGAAGTTTTATACATAGTGTGATATTAGTAACTCCATAAATTCTTCTACGAGTTGGATTTCCGAAAATATATTTAGCACACATGACATAAGTACAGTAGTATAGATACCCACATCGAGGTGTCCATCATTTCTCAAACATAAGGCTCAGCTCATTCAGCTCATAGATAAACTACTGCTCAGCTTGAAATCGGAATTCATTGAGTCAATTCAGCCAACCCTGTTATACAGTCTAAGAACAGTCTCTTTTGGTGAAATATATTGAGCTTTTAGTATAATTTATATGTTCACTACCTCGAGAAGATTATGCTGGAGTAGTAAACTCTAAAACTAGAGGATTGTTCATCTATATCTTGGTATAGTTGAATCAGGAATTTCATATGGAAATTACGTATGATTCGCCAGTGACCTCAATATAACCTAAAAAACAACGAATGTCGAATATCTAGTGTTTATTCCCAGAATTGAATAAGGTTGGAACTATATAAATGTTTCACAAACACTTTAGAGTGAGAGGCGACGAGGATCTGTCCGTACCCTGTTAAGATGACTTTAACGTCAATTTCCAACAAGGAAGGGCATGGAATGACTGTTGGTAGTTCTCAAAAAATTAAATTTGATTGACAAAAAACCAAATTTTTGAAAGTGAAAGACATTTAGAATACATTTTTATCGTGAGGTTCACTAGTTTATGATTCACTCAAGTGAGACAGGTTTGATATCATATGTTCATTCTCAGATACAATGAATTATCCCGATCTTAGAGAAGTTTCTCCAATCATCAAAATCACTGGTCCAAATATTCGTTGATTCATTTTATAGATGATTAACTCTAGTATTATAGACTGTTGGCCCGCGACACAGAGTTTATCGATGTTCTAAGTCGGTATACCATTTAAGGGACCTATTCACTCTGTCCAAGTTAACAGGAAGAAGTGCATCGGAGAGTCGCAACCCAGTCCTTGCCCCGGCCCTGACCTCACCTTTCGGTTGGAAAAAAGTTCAAAATTTTGTTTAGGAAGAAGCTCGGCAATGAAGTGCAATGATCTTATCTCACGAAAATTGGGACGCTTGCCGGTTTGCATATGCCTAGGTCACTCCCCAATGGCGGCATACGAACCGGAAGTGGCAATTTTTCAGTGTTATAGACGAGGATCTAAGAATGTAGGCGAAACAATGAATTCTGAACCATTAATCAGTTTCCCGACACTTGCATACGATTCAATAGAAAGGAATGATTAAAAAATTAAAATAAAAAATTGCACAATATTGAGAATTGAATAAACAACGGATTGTCAGAAAGGCATTGTTACATTTGGATTATAATAAGATCTCTACTTGGCTGAAAGATCAAGCTTCAATCTCTTCTTGAAGTTACTGAGATTGAAAGATCTAAATTCCATGGGAAATTAATTATAATATTTGCTAGCTGTATAAGAGAAACTGCGTTTGAAGAAAGATTAATTATGTTTTGGGATATCAAGAGCAGAAAGTTGGTAGTCTTCTGTGGAGATATCATAATCTAAGAATCCTTTGGAATAAATTTTTATTCGTGATACTTAAACAAAATATTAATTAATATAATAATTCCTGCACTTACTTTATTGTTGAAAGAGTCACTTCATCAAATTCATCAATGTTATTAAATATTATTTTTTTTCCACCACTAGCTATGAAACCTACCATTATTTACTCCTTTTCGTGGCATAAAGTGTGTTTTTACTACTAAGGTAGTTTTCGTGATTTTATTAACCACTAGTCAAGAAAGACATAGCCACCTCTGTTATAATTAACCCCAATTCACTGTTCTGATGCGTGATTCCTATTAATGGCACTCGAATCTAGTAGGTATTTATCAATATAACGACTTGTCATATGTCATGGTCATGGCTAATTATAGAAAATAGTGCTTTCATGGTGATAATGGGTCCTTATATCGGTATCACAGAACTGAAATGATTGAAATATATTGCCAGTGGTGAAAAAAATGTAATATTCACCTTGGTAGTAAAGAATACCACGGGACCTTATACCCCTCGGCAGAAGCCTCGGGATATAATCTTGGTCCCTGGGTAATGATGATATTCTTTACTACCTTGGTGTATAAATAACTATTGTCACCTTTTGAATCTGACGAAAATAAATTCCTATAATGCTCGTCGGTTTTTTCCGCACGCTAGTAGGAAAAATAGTCTCAAGTGGCTTTCTGATTATTTCTGATTCATACTATCCTATACCTATCTCTAACGGTTTTTGAGATACTGATCATTTTGCATATTTTTTATCCAATACATAGCTCGAATTGAATGTATATTTCTGCGGTATTTGGATTCTTAGGAAGTTGCAATTTTGTGTTTTAGTTCCTATCATAGTTCATATTCATCAACATCGCAAACAGAATTTTAACCCTCAAGATGTTGTCAGTAGTCCCTGACTATCGTGAAAGAGTTCATATTTGTAGAAAAAAATTGTATACAGTGTGGAAACTTTTCACATTTAAATTCTGAACAGCGCTATGGCTTGGGGCGTTATTTTTGAGTCGGAGCCTGTATAGACTCATACATCTTATTTTTTCCTTTCAGCTCCTTCAGGTTGTCTTCAGTTTTTCAACGCAACAAGTGGAACAGTAACAAGTTTCAACTATGGTTCTGCAGCAGCACAGAATGGAACACGGCAAATGGCCAATCTGAACTATGGCATATGCATTGCCACTATCAACAGTAAGTTTCTAACGAACAGCTCTTCACATAGTATTATTAATTGTAGTAAGATAGAATGCCCTCTAGAAAAAAGATCCACAAGACTTTTAGAGCAGCATCAGCCCAGGAGCATCAACTTCAAAAATGACAACAATAGCTTTTTTCGTCGACCTCTACCAAAAATCACATTTTACGTTTTAATTTCCGACTATTTCCGAAGGCAAGTAATTTTCGTCCGCAAACACTTTTCGTCCGCTGCAGGGTTGCCTGTTCCACTGAATTTTCAGTGTATCTCCTGATTTGCATATTGATCTTTCAATCTACTGAAACATTTCATAATCCACTGAAACATATTTTGACAGTTTTTTTGTATCGCTTGGAGCGCACGAAAGGGAATCCATTAATACTTTATTGGATGCATTCAGTTTACCTCGTATTGAAACAACTGAATTAATCGATGAAGGAAGGACACAAGATACACAGGAAAGTGGTGAGGCTAACTCACACCAGAACATGCAGCAAATGTTATCATCACCATGCATGTGAATCACAACAATCCCAAATTCAGATATGCCATAATCAAAATCAGGGCCCAATTCAAGATGGTGTTCCCCAAACTTCAAGACCAAGACGAGTTCATCGGTGACCACAAAGATTTCAGAATTATGTTTAGTTTCAACGGGGGGAGGTATTAAGATGAACCAATCACCCTATACAATGGAGACAATGAATGTCATTAATGAATTAATTCGAACTTTACTTTTACTTACTTACGAGCTACGTGTATTCATTGCAACACTACTAAGACACATACACTTATAAATTGCCTGATATTTTGGCACGCTCTTTTTAAATTGATTTTACAAAATGAGTAATGAATGTACAGGGTGTCCCAAACTGGATGCGTTCTTATGGGAACACCCCTTATTTGAAGAGATGGAAAAAAATTAACCTAGGTGTCCGGAGCTTAAATTCAATAAGAAAACCACTGGCGCAAACGAGACTTTGCTATCTCTTATCGTTTGGCCGCCAGAGGGCTTTTCTCGAAATTCGTTGATTTCTTCAATGCCCCATAACTTTCTTATTAATGAAGATAATTCATTTTGGTAAAAACATTCTCAAAGCACTTTTTTCCATAGAATCTATTGAGATGAGAAGTTTTTCTACAGTGCGTTCAGATTGCTGTGCACCATCCCAAACTCTGTTTTTTTTTAAATGGACCACTCTATATATTATGATATTTTTGAGAAGCTCGTAAAATTTCCTAAATTTTGATGTATCACTCGTCATGTTTATCTCAGAAACCATCAGCAACATTACGATTTAAAAATTAAAATATTGTGCCTACAGAAATCAAGATTGCCCTGACTAATGAAATGACATAGGATGCTAACATGTTATGATTAAAACTACAGATCTGAAGTTTCATGATTAAATTACTCATAGTTATCATAATGAATTTATAATTATTTAAAATACAAAGGACAACAACAACAAACCAACAATATTACACTAACACTAAATCCTTACATAAAATTATATGGAACTTAATCAACGATATTGAATAAACATAAACACAAACATAATGAAATTATGTCAGCAAATGTTCAAATTGTCCCCCATTTTGTTGAAGGCAAATTCTACATCTTTTGGTAACAGCATTAACTGCATTAATGAGTTGTATATTATTTAGAACTCGGTTAAACGCACCTCGCAACACCCTTTCTAATTCTTTCCGGCTCATTTTACTTGGTTCTTTGGGATTTTCTCTCCTCGTTTCTATAAAATAAAAGTATTCGTATTATTTCAATATATTTGTAGAGGGACAAATCAGATGATTTGCCCCAAAATGTCACTGCGTTTAAAAAATTGTTCTATCAGGGAGTCTAAAAGAAAAATCCAGTAGCTTGTCAGTGACAATTTGTTTGAAAAAATTTTTGAAGGAAAGAAATATAGATATATTGAAAAAATATCGAATTTTTACTTATCTTTGGACGTTTCGGGACCGATTCTGCTCCCGTTCTCAACATGTAAATGCAAATTATTTTTCTTTGAAAGTTGTGCTGCGTATAGTTTGACACTTGCTTGCTCTGGGTTTGTTGAAAGAACCAAAATTTTGGAGATTATGGGCAAGTCTAGCAAATATATCCCTGGATGGTTGCTGTCGTTCGGGATATCTTTGGAAATACAAGTTTTCTGCCGCCTGAGCATTTTTGTTACTTTCTATGTAACATTCAAGCATGTTGAACTTTTCGTAATTTTCATACATTCCTTAAAACTCTTCAAAAACCTTATGAATATATTTATTTTCTACCGAAAATACCAAAATATCAAACATTATCGAGTTCTACTGTCAATTCTCAACTATTTAGAAGCTGTCAAACAACGAAAACAGAATAATCATGATCACGGCCTACTGCTTCTTTATGTAAAAACTTTAGATCGGTGGTTTCAACTATAACATGTTAGCATCCTATGTCATTTCATTAGTCAGGGCAATCTTGATTTCTGTAGACACAATATTTTAATTTTTAAATCGTAATGTTGCTGATGGTTTCTGAGATAAACATGACGAGTGATACATCAAAATTTAGGAAATTTTACGAGCTTCTCAAAAATATCATAATATATAGGGTGGTCCATTTAAAAAAACAGAGTTTGGGATGGTGCACAGCAATCTGAACGCACTGTAGAAAAACTTCTCATCTCAATAGATTCTATGGAAAAAAGTGCTTTGAGAATGTTTTTACCAAAATGAATTATCTTCATTAATAAGAAAGTTATGGGGCATTGAAGAAATCAACGAATTTCGAGAAAAGCCCTCTGGCGGCCAAACGATAAGAGATAGCAAAGTCTCGTTTGCGCCAGTGGTTTCCTTATTGAATTTGAGCTCCGGACACCTAGGTTAATTTTTTTCCATCTCTTCAAATAAGGGGTGTTCCCATAAGAACGCATCCAGTTTGGGACACCCTGTACATATAGGTATAGTCTATCCAAAGTCAGTTGGAGCGTTTGTCAGTTGTACAATGTGTTGATGTTCATCATACAGAGCGTGGAAAACATTTTGAATTGAAAAAACCGAATCTGTGAATGTCTGCCACGTGCACGGACTTCGAACGAAATTCAAAAGAAGCGAAACCGCTCTGCGTACCTATATGTTTTTTCTCAATGTGCTCCAACTGACTTTGAATCGACTATACAATTGATGTGTATAATCCAAAAGAGGATTTAGATCAAATTCAATTCTTTAAATATCTCTGTTATAACAGTTTATTTCTCAGGATTTATTTTTTTATTTGTTTCGTATTTTTTTGTTCATTTTTACTATTCGTTCCTGTTTTTTATTTACTCAAGTCTTATTAGTATCTATGTAACTGAATTTTGTGATATTTGTCAGGATTCTTGAATTGAGAATTGGGAATATGATAATTTTTGTATGAGAATGTTTGTTTTGTTTGTTTCTATTTTATTGGGAATAGGCTACTCTGCTGTTTACTGAAAGTAACATAATGTTTCAACGTTCTAGGTTTATTTTATTATCCTCTTGGAATTCGTAAGCATAAAATTGATCTTGAACAGATCTATTGAAATCTACTGAATTTTTGACAAGGTATTCACTGATGGAATGAAAATCGAACTGGCAACCCTGGTCGGCGCGGAGAGTGAGTTGAAAGCAACTGTCATTTGCTGCTGTGAAATTAATTATTCACGAAATCCGATAGATTTCATGTGTGAATAGGATTGTGATATGAATATAAGTGTTTGAGGTCGACGAAAAAATGTAATATGCACTTCGGCGAAAAACTGTCTATTGTCTCGCCTGATTGGTAGCCTCGGCTAAGGCCTTGGCTATCAATGGGCGTGTACACCTTAGTAGAACTTTTAACTCGAACCATGTTTATAATGATCCTTTTATACATAAATAATGATTGACGACATAATTCGATCGAAAATTTTACTGGAATGTTTTATTCTTGGACATAAATAATAGTACCTTCTGAAAACGGACCCTCTTATGACGTAGAAACCTCATCTCGCCATAGTTGAAAGAAAATACCAAACGCCCGACGGAGACTGAGGCAACTGATATATTAATTCTTTCAACTGTGATCTCGCACTAATTAACTCTGTCAGAAATCATGTATCATTCATCTCTGTTTGGAAAAGTCTTGTTTCAGTATTAGGGTTTTGACGTCATATCATCGCCTCGTTTTCAGAGGTACGAAAAATCGGGGATTTCAATAATTTTTTATAAAACGTAGGAAGCTCACAGCAAGAAACGGTTTGCGGTGGTGAGCTAGTTAGGGTGAGTTCTATCGAATTATGAAAATTTTTTTTTGTGATATAAGCCCATTTGCAGACTTGACTATAATAGACAGTGTTTCGTCCTTGGTACATAAATGACTATTTTTCGATTAATTTTCAGGATTTGGTGACATTGTCAATTATAGTTTTGTCACTTTTCATAATTTAGTGAGGTGACATTGTCAATTGTAGCTTTGTTACTTTTCATTGATTAGATATATTTCAGAATAGGATACGATAGTCACCCTGTTCTGAGATGCTCCTAGTCAATTTAATGGTGATGACATGTCTAGATCTTCATGTTTATCATCCGGCATCTCTATTTACTTTTCAGATCTACTGAAGATGATAATATCTAGGTATTTAGGCCCGTATTTATAGTCGTTTCCTCAAGAACTCCTCAAGTCTTTCTCATCTGAGGATTCCTTGAGAACTCCTCAGCACTTGACGTTGAACTTGTTTTATAGACCTCCCTTGAGTATTCCTTTTAGAAGGAGCCCTCAAACTTGGCAACAGTTTATAATTTTTGTGTTCTGTGACCAAATTTGTTGTTTCATGTCACGTGTTTATCACAAAAGGAAAAATGTCATATTTGAAAGTGTTTATTGTTTACTGTGGGGTGTGGACCACACATCGAAAGATTTTAATAATCCAGTAATTAAGTATTAAGGTTGGTTCAAATTGGGCCTAACAGCATATTACTTCGATCACAGACAAAATATATCCAAGGTTCCGCAAAATGAAGAAGGGGTCGAAGAGTTTATCGATGACGATGTTGGAAAATTACAATACAAAAATTTTTACTCTATTGAAAACGGATTCTTTCAAGCTGCAATGAAATAATATGCCGGGCTGAGGAAGAATATCCATTTGATTGAATACTTCGAATTTATCTGAGATTTTGTGTGGTTGTTTATTGAAAATGTATGTATTTCAATTTCACGAACAAATCATCAAGATGATACTTACCTATAAACAATTGTAAATATGTAGTTTACAGTATTTGTGATATATACCTATTATTCAAAATAAAAAAAGGTCTACTTTTCAACTAAACTTGAATCAACTTCTACTGGAAATCGATATACTCGAATCAGATTCTCTGTACAAATTTCAAGTCTTGAATATTTATTAGATTACTACATTCAAATTTTATCATTCCATGCATGGAATTCATAAAATAACCTGAAATAATACTGGAAACTGGATCAAGGAATGCTCAAGGTACCTATTTACCTTCCTTGTGGGACGAGGTCACCTTAAGGAGCGACTATAAATACTAGCCTTGACTTTTTGAGACTCAAGAAATAGTTATTTTTCATGGGTAGGTCTTCTTATTTGTTTGATTATACAGGGTGATTCAGATTAAAAGGCACAAACTGAAATGGGTAATAGATCTAATCATTTTTATCAAAAAAGTTTATATGATCTCGATCACAAGCGGAGCTACAGGGGGTCGAAGTTTAATTATATTTTTCTATTAATTAATATATCTTACTCACTTTTGAAGATATGAAGTAGAAATTGGGTATGGTTGATACTTCCTAGAAGATCATTATGTCAAGCATCTTATAGATTTTCAAAATCTACAGAGTGATACGTTTTTGGGGGTAGAGGTTTCTTTATTCCCCACGAACTTTTCCGTAGTACGCCTCTGACAACTTGCAGCTAAGAAATTCAATATAGTATTCAATTTCGTGGCTTTTTTGCCTCTCAATTTTTTTCGAGAAAAATACAGTTCTCATAATAAATAAGCATATCCGTTCTGAAAACACGTTAATTTTGCCTATATTGTTTTGCTTTAATTTTATTATTGGATAAAATTCACAGAAAATGTGATTAAATGTACTGAAATTACAAACTGGCTCAGTAGCGGAGATACAAAGGGTAGAACGTAAAGGTTTTGTTAGTTTTTTAAGTTGAATTTTCTCCAAGCATAAAATTTAAGCGGAATGTAGACAAAATTAACATGTTTTAAAACGGGTATGCTTATTTATTTCGAAAACGGTTCGTCTCGCGAAATAAATTGAAGATCTCCAAAATTCTAAAAATGATGATGTTCTGAGGACTTATGTTTATAGAGACTTTTTTGATTCAAATGATGAGAACTATCACACATTTCAGTTTGTGCCTTAAAACTTGATTCACCCTGTATTATTATTGTTATTATAGTTTGGTTGTTCTTGTGATGATAAATCCCATATGCCAATGCAGTAATGCTTGGCATGGAATGAATTGCCCACAAATATGAGAGCTTAATTTTCACACAGAGTTCTTGGAAATATGGAAGTACCTGAAATATTTTCTTCGATTTCACTTCCGTCTATATTTCGCAATGCTGGTACAAACAGACATTTTTTGAATAATCCTGATTGTCATCGATTGCAAATTGCAACAAAATTCGAAAATGACAGTTGACAGTTCCTACAATAATTGATAGGCCGGACAGAACTCGAACGACTGAAGATGTATTTAAAAAACTGTGCTGTCATGGAAATGTATTTGAGAAATTGTGTTGCCATGGTAACGTGTTCAATTTTTTCAACAAAGCACAGATCGTCAATCCGTGATCAATCGATCATTTAGCGTGATACATACATACATACATACATACAAGAGTTTTATAATCTATTTTTTCAGAAACATTCATTTAATCATTAAATGAATGCTCGCACTGATGAGCGTCTTATGTTAATATCGACTACTGACGCCGTATGTTAAATACAAATTCGAGCTGACTATGTTTTTCGACTTTTTCTGATTTTTACTATTATTAAACAGTTGCGTATACCAAATTCAACATTTAAGATCACCCTCAACCATACTTTATTTATGATGACGCGCTGCTGACGCGTCCTGTTACGATATTTTGAAGACTGACGGTATCCCTACACACTACATAATATCGAAATTTCAGCTTTTAGAGAACTGTTGCATTTATTTGCCACTAATCTCTCGGTCTACTTCTATTGAAAATTGTATCGTTCTTCTGTGTAGGATATTGTGGCATTCAATGGAGTGGGTCAGGCACCTTCAAGTTTGCAGTATCAAATAACACATATAACTCCATAGCAGATGGAACAATTGGAACAATAGCTGCCGAAAATTTTGGATCTGCTTGCACATCGGATTTCATTGTTATACCTGGACCCATTCTATCTTCTAACTCCACCAAATTAACTTCAGACAGATTTTGTGGCAATGGATTCGCAACAGTGCTTAGTGAGTTTAAACTATAATCTTAGATATCCAACTTGAATCTTGATCCTTTAGGTCTAGTTGATCGTTCAGTAAATTTCAATTTTGTCTCAATTCTCACAGTCCGTTTTTGTCGAATTTGTTATTTTCGGTTATAATTGCACGAGTGCATAAAAATTACCAATAGGTTTGCTAGAAAGCGTGTTAGCTAAAAATTGCAAGAATTTATTTTCATATTTTGGCGAAAGAGACCGAGTCCGAAGAAGAAGGGTCCTTTTACACAATATGAAAATAAACGAATGCAATTTTCATAGGATAACACGCTTGAATGCAAAATTATGTTTATTTTTATGCTCGAATGGAATATTTTCAAGTATAAACAAATTCTCCATAGATTGTATCGAGCACTCACCAAAACGCGACATTTCTTTCACTTTTTCACTATGGAGTCTGACCCCCGTAGGTAGGTAGAACACTGCAAAATAAGTTGGGTTCGTTCAGAAAAAAATGTCGTTTCTCACACATTATTTTCGATTATGTCGAAACTACTGTATGAATGTGTTGTCGAAGCTGACACATTGCATGAATTTGTTTTTATATCTGACTCTCATAGAGGGCGCTAGTTACACGGTCGTACCCAGTAATTTTGAACATAACTTTTTTGAGGTTAGATTTTTTAATCTGATTTTGATATGTGAGCTTTAACATCATTGAATTCAACACCAGAAAAACTCAATACTGTGTACTGATTTCGCATTATTTGGATTTGAGAATGATGGAGTAATAGCTGATGCTTGTATAAAATACATTTTATTGAGATCAACTACCTATTCATTCAGATTCGAAAACAATAAATTTATTCTTGTGCTGAAGTTATTGATTGAACAAAGAATCACAAGTAGAACATTGAGAACAATTTTATAATAATATAAACATAAAATCAATATTGAATCAGTTAGAGTAAATGTTCAAACTGTCCTCCGTTTCCACAAATACACGACTCTATATTTTTTTCAAAGAATGCATTATTCTTCCCAACGGTTGAGGATCAGCTGTTAGGTCGTTTAGTTGATGTTAATTCTTGTCTTGCAACTCTTGACGTGATTTCACCTCTGTAGCATAGAATTTTTACTCAAGATACAACGAAACTGTGAAATCCATGTATCTATTCGAATGTACAGGGTTTTTATCTTTCTAAGTCAGGCGTTTACAAGATCAAATGCTCTGATTGCAGTGCAGAATACGTTGGTCAGACAGGAAGATCTTTTTTCACCAGGATAGCAGAACATAAAAATACAATTGACAAATATAGTAACTTTGATATTATCAACACTACATCTTCGTTCGCAAACCATATTCTCGAGAATAAACACAAACATAATATACTACAAGATTTTGAAGTCCTACATGTTCATCCTAAAGGCAAAAAGCTTAACCTTCTGGAACTTTTAGAAATCAATAGATCTGCTCATTCAAATTCAACTGTCTGTCTAAATGAACAATTTCGATTTGATTGCCTATCCACTTTTAATTCCAATTTGTAATCTTCCTCTCCATTCATCGGTTGCATTGGCAATCCTTTTGTTTAATGTTGTCATTCCTAATTTCAAAAAACACAATTTTAAATACCCGACTTAGTCAATCTAGACACATTTTATTGTTTTGTTATAAACTTTGATGTTATGGTTGTATGTATAGTTTCTTTTCTCCTCCTACCTAGCAAGGTATGTCACCAATTTTCCAATAGTGATGGAACTTCTTTTATTTATAATTTTTTTCTATTTTAGCCTGATGATGACTCCTAGGAGTCGAAACATGTAGCACGTATTTTTATTAACATTTATTTGGAGTAAGACTTTGAGTTTGTTCTCTTAGTTATCTCATCACCTCCAATTTGAGCATGGGCTACTTCCATAGATTCACATTTTATTCTGTTATTTGCACCTCCTGTTTCAGGCCTTGCAGATCTTTACAAAATCAATAATATGAATGTGTTCAATTTCTTGTCATCCTTTTCAGGTATACTGTATAGAAGTGATTGAGCTATGTCATGCTTTCAATAATTTTTCAGAATCATATCGTTTGTGGACATTAAGTACAAATAATGAAATCAATTTAGTTTCATTTCTTCTCTTCGACAGAATGATTACTGAAAGAAATGTGAAATGTCCTATTTTTTTAGGTTACACCAAACCCTTCGTTCTCACAGTGGTAACCGATTCTAATGAAGTGAACGATACCGGTAATCTAGGATTTTCACTGGACTTTAGTCAGTTGCGATGCAGTGGATCCATTCTTCTAGGGTAATGAGAAACTCCTAATTATATTGAACATATCAATGTTTCATTATATTATGAGTTCAATATACAAAATCCAAACATAAACACTATATTGATATAACTCCATTTATATTTTCACTCTATCCATCTTCATCTTCTGCAGTATGTTCAAGAAATCTGTAAGAAGGATTCAAATCAAATAAATGAAGTGCAAGTTGTGAATGATAAAAATCAGGACTGGCTGGAGACATTTTACCGTCACATGTTCAAATTTTGGTCTCTATCCTCTTCTTTGAATCCTCTCTGAGTCCCTGAAGTAGTGTAGGTCAATATTTGTCGTTGACTTTAGTTTTGTGTATTTTCTTTGGTAAAACCAATCTCACTGAATATTTTTAGTAAACAGGGTGATCCAGGAGGGTTGCCACATAGCCAAATGAGGGATAAAGGAAATCAAGACAAGTTGATGTATCCGTAAGAATTAGTAGTTTACCTAACAAGGTCGGAAAAGTCACTTTACGCACGTGTTAGGTACACTATTTGTTCTACTATCACCTGCGGAAAAAAACCTAAATTCATCTTTTCCACACGCTAGTATATAAAGTTTTTTGGTCATCTTAAACGAAGATACTGGATATGTAATTATGTGAAATCGCCATATAACTTTGATGACCGATACCTATTCGAGAATAAATTCATCGTAATATTCTCAAATTAGGCAACGACGTTCATTTATTGAAACTATCCAAGATGGCATATTATGAAAGAAAATCCAGATTCGAACTTGCTCATGTTTTGTTGTTATATCAAAAGAGTTCATTTTGTGATCACTTTTCTCGAAAAATTCCATCAGATTCAGAAAGATCAAACAAAACGCCATTAGAACTGGTTTTCAATTTGCACTGCACACTTTGACCGGTTTTATGAAAAAAATATGAAACAAAAATGTTCGAATGAATTTTCAATTTTGACCTGGCAGATGATTCTGATCTTTCAACTGCATCCATGTTAATTGATTTTTGGCATATTCTCATTGGATATAAATTGCCAGAAGGGAGTAATTGAGAAAAAAACACAGTCCTGATTTTTGAAAATTTGATAAATGTTTGCTTTTGATTAGGTAACGGAAGAGAAACAACTACTTTGTATAAATATAAATTTTTATTGAAATCATAATGAAATGGTGAGCATTTTTTCATTGTATGTTGTGACATATACCGTTTGTTGATAATCCGAATTGATAGGTACTAACTGGTAATCAAAAATTCTTGCAGTCAAGATGCCACTTCATTTTTTGAATGCTGGATATGACAAAAATTCAATTGCTGAAAGTGTTCAGGATCACACGTTAAAAGGTAAGGGCCCCGTCATTCTTTGCTAGCAGAAGTCTCTCGGAGACGTCTGAGAGTTGCTTGTGAGGGGGCAACCGAAAGACGGATAGAATAATTTCAGAACAACCATTTTTTTTTCAATTCATTCAAGATTTCCAGACCCGAGAATACGTAGGAGTGAAACCCCTTCGAGGGTGGACATTGAAAATATTGGAGAAAGAGCAAATGCATCCTTATCACTTGCAGAAATGTATCAACAACATATAAAGCTATCAGTTCACGCGTGATGGTATAACTAATTTGATAAATCACCATCTATAGGCACATGAAAATACTCATGACGTAATTTTACCAGTTGAACCCATCAGTTCAGATTATCAGCAAACGTGACGTTAGGGTACATAATGGAAACAGGGCCTACTATTTCATCATCACTTCAATCGAAATGCATGAAACAAAGTCACGAATGATAATATCAATCTAGAATATCGATCAAAAATTCTTAACTAGAAAGATGCAAAAAAAATAATTCAGATTGTAACGGGGTGGGTAGATTTTCGTACACAAAAATAACACTTAAGTCAATGGCTCTAGACAATTTATTCACTCTACGGGTTGAGTATGGTGGTAACAACGATCCGACTAAAAAACGAAAACACCTTTACTAACTATCAATATGATGAAACATCATTCAGGGGATTAATTACAAAAAGTACTCACCTAAAACAGGTAATGTGCACGAAGAATTTTCGAATTCACAACGCACCTAATAATTTCAGCCGGACATTTGTTAGCCAAGTATAAAGTGCTGGAATGTTTAACCGGGCAAGTCTTTTTTGTTCGAAACAGTAAAAACCATTGAAAATATAATTATTTATTTGTAGTTGACAGACAGACACGGACATCTATCCATTATTGCTATAAGTAGGTATCCAATCAGAATTCCCAAGAAAGGTAACTATATAATAAGATTTCGCTACATTCGCCCCCCAACTAGTCATATAAAAAATACCAATATTATAATATATCATATATTTTTTCTATGGCGGTCTAACATAACGCTTCAAATGCGAAATATGGAACGTCCCTCTTTCCTTGTCCGAATCAGGGAAACACAGGACATAAGTGACAGGCCCAAGTTGTTTTTTTATTACAAATGGCCCCTCAAAAAGAAGGAGAAATTTTTTTACTTCCTGGGTAAGACTAGAGGACATCGGATTAGCCCTAACCAAAACTAGTTCTCCTACGTCGAACTGAGGATAGGGTCTTCCTGGTCTAGCAACAGATCTACGATGAGCCCGGCCCTGCATGGTTTCTTTAGCTAAAAGCAGTTTTTGTTCTTGACTCTTTTCGCCGATACCGTGTTCCGGATAAGCGAGAACCCCGCGAGTTAGAGACAGTGGCGTTTCACCGAAATGTAATTCGCGGGGCGAAAATCCCGTGGATTCGTGCGTGACTGAATTTAGAAAATCGCCAAATCGTCTAACCTCTACAGCCCATCGCGTATGTTTCTCCGAACAATAAGTTCGAAATAATCTGGATAATTCTCGCATATATCTCTCGACAGGGTTAGATTGGGGATGACGGATAGAACTATATATTGGTTTCACCTCAAATTTAGCTAGAGTGTCTGGCCATAGTTTGGAGGTGAATTGAGACCCATGATCTGTTAAAATTTTTTCTACCCGATTATGTTTAACGAAATAATCAGAAGTTATTCTGTTCAAGATAGAGCGGGTAGTAGCTTTTTTCAAGGGGTACATAGTTATATACTTAGAATATAAATCGAGTATAACACACAAAAACGTAGTTCCGCCAATGGACTGGGGTAGGGGCCCGTATAAATCAAGGGATATTACCTCATTTATACGGTTTGGGAGTATAGGAAACAGGGATGGACTCGGCAAAATAGAGACCTTCGCCTTCTGACATATGTCACATGATTTTATCCCTTGTTTAATGGATTTGAACATGTTACGCCACCAGAAATCTCTTTTGAGTACCACCCAAGTCTTGTATACACCGAAATGTCCTAGTCTTTCATGATAAGTCGATATACATTCGTTAATCAGTTCACTCGGTATACACAATCCGTAAGGTTCCTCGTCGGACTGTCTATGATACAAACGATCCTCGAACAAAATGAATTTGGAATGACACTTGGAAGACTCGTTTTGTGACAAAGCTGTTATTATAGGGCCGAGAATAGGGTCAGAAGCTTGCAGTATAGATACTTTTTTCATTTTATCTTTGAACTGTTTTGATAAGTCTATAGAAAATAACTTGAAACATCTACTATCCGGGACGGAATGCCGCACACCGGGATACCTGGACAGTGCGTCAGCAACGACATTTTCCGATCCCTTTATATACTTGATAGTAAAACTAAACTCTTGTAGTGCTAGAGCCCATCGCGTCACCCGAGGTGTCAATAGACGGCAGGTCTGAATGTAGCTTAAAGCTCTGTTATCGGTTAGAATTGTGAAATGCCTTCCTAACAAGAAAGTACGCCACTTCTGTAGAGCCCAGGTTACAGCCAAAATTTCTTTTTCATTTGAAGAGTAGAATTGTTCCCTATTTAATAATAATCTGCTCGCATAAGCAATGACTCTTCGATTTCCATCGATCATCTGATAAAGTTGCGCTCCTACAGCGTATTGACTAGCATCAGTTTGAACGAAAAATTGTTGGTTGAAATCTGGGTGAAACAGCAGTGTTGTCCTTTCTAGTAGAGCTTTTATACTTTCGAAAGCGGTCGCCTGTTCCGAACCCCAACACCACTTAGTTTTTTTTCTCAACAATCGAATAAGAGGCTCCGCCAATCTTGAGAAGTTTTCGCAAAATGCACGATCATAATTACACAATCCTAAGAACGCTTGTAACGACTTGATATTTTGAGGGGCTGGGAAGTTTTTAACCGTTTCTATTCGCTCTGGATCTGGTTCGATACCTTCTGGGTCTAAAATGTACCCTAAATAGTTCAACTTTCTAGGTATAAATCGACATTTTCGGAATTTCAAAGTTAACCCTGCCATTTGTATTCTTCCCAAAACAGCATTTAAATGTTCTAAGTGATCAGAAAAAGTTTTGGAAAACACTAAAATATCATCAAGATACGCTATGGCAAAATCATCAAAGTCAGTACTAAAAATTTTCGAGACGGCCCTGGAAAACGACGACACGGCTGTACTAAGTCCGAAAGGAAGTACTGTGAACTGATAACTTCTGGTTCCTACCAAGAATCCGGTATACTTTTTGTCCTCTTCCCGTAAAGGAATTTGCCAATACCCCGATGATAGGTCCAATAGCGTTTTGAAGGGCGCGCCTGAGAGAGACTTGAGAATTTCATCAATCGGTCGAGGTAACTCGTAATCTGGCTCTAACGATTTGTTCAAATGTCTCGCGTCCAAACAAACACGCACCGAACCATCTTTTTTCACATTCACCACCAAAGGGCTTATGTACGGTGTCGACGCCCTTTCGATTACTCCCCAAGACTCCATTTTAGCAATCTCCTTGAATACGGCTTCCCTGTGAGCGAATGGTATAGGATACTGTTTTTTCTTGAACGGTGAATCATCAAGCAAGTTTATTTTATGAGTGTACCAATTTGTACGGCCCGGAATATCCGAAAAAACAGTCTTGTATCTCGAAAGCAAACATTTTAAAGCTTGTTTTTGCTCGGTATTAATATGGTCAAGGTCGTATATGAAATTTAAATTGAAATTAGGATTAACCGTCCTTTGAATAATATTGTCCGTTTTTACTGCGACAAGTTTTAAGTCCAAAATTTCCTCAGGAGCTTTATATTCATGTTCAGTATGAATATCCTTAACTTCAATAAGATTT